TCTTGAACAATTTTTTAAGTCATCTGCACTCTCTCCTGTTTCTTCATTGACTCCAATCAGTCTTATGTTATTCTTCTTTGCATTGTCTAGCAGCTTCTGGATTGATTTCTCATGGTTCCTTACCATTTTAAAGAAATTTTTCTTTTCCTTGTCACTAATTGCAATCTTATCTTCTATATCTGAAATTCTGTCCTCCCATTGGCTCATTCTGCTTTGTTAAATTTCAATGGAATTTTAAATCTGGAAATCTGTATCTGTTTTATGGATTCCATTTGTTTCCTATGTTGTGATTCTATCATATTCCTCAGGCTCTCTATTTTTTAATCTGTGTTCTCTCTAGATTTATTAATCATGTCTTTCACTATGGGCACAATCTCTGCTGTTATCTGAGAAATTATTTCTGATTTCGTTTTTTCCAGATCCTCTTTTGTTGCCAGTTCAGAGAGTCCAGGTGGTTGAGCATCAGATTGTTCCATCTCATTTCCCTTTGAGGTTGCTGTAGGTGATCTGGAATTCTGGTTTTAAGGCTTGTTTACATGTCTCCTTATTTCGACGGGGTGTGTGTGGGGGGAGTTGCTGCTGGCACCCGTGCAGTTCACCTTCTCTGCACTGGGAATGGTGCTAAGGTGGCCTGGGAGCCTCCTCCTCAGCGTTGGGGTTGGCTCTGCATTTAATTTTATGTAAGTACCATTGGATAACAGATTTCTTTTTTTTTCCATGAATTTTATTGGTACATTTTAGGTATACAATACAGTTGCATTCATCACTGGGGTCTTATACATTTACATGACGTATCTTGGTTCTTATTTTTTCTCCATTCCCCTGCCCTCCCTTCACCCCCTCCACCCTTCCCTATTTACAAAGACTTTGTTTCCAATTTTTTCCTTTTCTCATATTTTTTCTTTTCCTTTCTTTCCTTTCTCCTACCTTTCCCACTTCACCTACTCCTTTAGACCTTTTCTCCTATTACACAATATCAATTACACATTTTGATTCTTATTTACACTTTTAGTTTTTCACATTGAAGTATTCAGTATTTACACATGTATGTCCTATTTATTTCACTTAAGAGTATGGCCTCAATGTGCATCCAGTTAGCTATAAATGTCTCTAGTTTCTCATTCTTTATGGCTGAGTAGTATTCCATTTTATTAAAAAACACATCTTCTTTATTCATTTTCCAGTTGATGGGCATGTTTTAACATTACAAACTGTGCTGCCATAAATGTGGGTGCAAATATATCAGTGTGGTATGATTCTTTTAATTCTTTTGGGAAGATACCCAGCAGAGGAATATAGCTGGGTCAAATGGGACTTCCAATCCTAGTTGTTTGAGGTATCTCCATACTGATTTCCACATATGTTGCACCAGTCTGCACTCCCACCAACAATGGAGAAGAGCTCCTTTCTCCACACAACCCTGCCAGCATTTATTATTTGTTGATTTCTTGATAGTAGCCATTCCTTCTGGGGTGAGGTAGAATCTCAGGGTTGTTTTCATCTGAATCTCTTGAATGAACCCTGATGTTGAACATTTTTTCATATGTTTATGTGCTGTTTTTACTTCTTTGTCTGAGAAATGTCTGTTCATTTCAGATGCCCATTTTTTATTTTTGCACTTTATTAAATTCTTTTATTGGTACATTGTAGGTGTACAACACAATTACATTTCTCATTGGGAATTGTGCCTTTACATAATGCATCTTGGTTCTTATATTTTCTCCATTCCTGGCCTTCCCTTCACCCCCTCCACCCTTCAATATTTACAAACACTTTATTTCCATTTTTTCCATTTCTCTTCATTTTTCCTTTCCCTTCTTTCCTTTCCCCTGCCTCTCCCACTACCCCTACCCCTTTGGACCTTTTCTTCCTATTTTGCATTATCAATTATTCATTCTAATCATTGGTACATTTTAGGT